GGTGGCTCAAATCAATTTAAGGTTTAAAGTGGTAATTCATTTTAAGGCCTTTTTATTTTTAGTATTATAAATTTTGGTTAAAATTAATTCTTCTCATTTTTTGAGTTGTTAAACTATAAATTAAGTTTTCATATTTAAATTTTGTTATCATATTTTCTTTTATTTATAAATTCTTCTTTAAAATATTTTATTTTAAAAATAAATCTAAACTATCAATGTTTGAAAATTTGTTATGTTTTAAAAAACATTCGAGATCAGGAAAAAAAAAATTAAACTATCAATATGTAATGATTTTATTTTTTAAGTTAAATAAAAAACTAAAAAATTTCTTTATTTGAAATTGATATGGAGAGTGAGTGAGTGATAATTAAAATGAGAGGGATGAGCCTTCTAGTGTTAGAGAGAGAGAGAGAGAGAGAGAGAGAATGCAATTGGGAAAAGGTGGGTGGATTATAACATGACTTTTGAGTATACCATCAATTTGTTTTAATAAAATTTTGATTTTTTATATTTTTATTGTGATGGATTGAATTATAAGCCCAAAAAATTACTAAAATTAAAATTTTTAATTGGCCTTAAATTTTGCCAAGGTTTTTTTGTAGTGTTTATAATTTTCATTGACTTAAATTTTTAAAGTGGGCTAATTATTTACCTAAAATTATGGGGCCTCAAGCCAAGCTTTTTAACTTCTACAATTGGGCCAGTCCTTGCTAATTGGGTTTCAGGGGCAACTTCTACTCACGGGTTCATATTAGAGCTATCCACCACAATGAGTATGGGATCGAATGCAGAAGTATGAGTTGTGGCTTTCTTTGGTCGTTGTGGTCAAGTCACAGAAGAGCCAACCTATAGGCTAAATTAAGATGAATTTGAATTATTTTTGGGCATATTGCTATCCCATTGAAGACTAATAGATAAGTAGAACCGCCAAATGAAAAGAGTTATCTTTAGGTCAGTGTTGATAGAAGGCCACCATGAAAGTTGGTTAAGGAAGCGTAATGGAATGTTACGATGTCATATTGGTTAAAAATAATATTAGATGTGTGTATATAAAACCCTGAACACTCTTCTCTTGCAAACCAATTTTAGAGTTAAGTTCTACTCATAGTTTAACAACCTAATAAGTGTCATGTTTATATAAATTTTCTTCTTAGAGTATGGTTGGTCTTATTAATTTGGTGGCTGATTCTACCATAATGTGGAAGGTACTACTACTCATAACATGCACAAAAGAAGCCTAGCTTATTGGTTTTGTGATCATTCCAAGCTCCTGTTGGTAGGGCCTATCCTAGGGCCCTAGTTTTTGTAAAAAGTTTGGGGCCACAATACGTGAGCCAACAGGATTAATACAAAAGGCCCAAAATCAATTATTACAAGTGGAAATTGAGACATAATCTTCTTAGATGGACTTATAATGAATTGCATCTGTCAAGAAAATTTATTTGAGGATAAGTTCATTTTTAATCTTATTAGTAAGGAGTTAAATCCATTTTTTTTAATCTAAAAAATACCCTTAAAAGTGTTATTTTTGTCAGTTATAGAAAGTTGAAGACATTATGTACAAGGAGCTATATATGAAGGCCAATGATTGAATATATGAATGCTTGATTTACGATGGTAATTGTTGATTACAAGTTTGCTATAATACTTCAAATTCAAATTCTTACTCATTATTTTGTTTGTTATACATTTAAATAATTAATTTTTGAGAATTGAGCCTAATTTAAAAGGAGTGAAGGTTGAAGTTAGAGTACGAGTTTGAGATTTTGAAAAAGTAACATGGATAATGTACACAAAATACTTGATGTTAGCATAGTAACATCAATTCAGTAACATCAATTTTAAAATGTAATTTACTAGCATATATCACTATTTTTTTTTCATGTTTTTTATTAAGCATATTATTATTTTTTCAGTATTACTTTTCTGGATACTGAAGAATTGGAGGTTTCTTCCTCTAGTTGTGGGTTTGAATGCAATTTTTTTTTATTTTTAATTTTGTTCAATGTTCCATATTGCTATTTTTTTTGTTGAGTATGTTACTATTTTTGTTAAGCATGATACTATTTTTGTTGAACATATTACTGTTTCTAATAAAAATCATTCGGACCCCCCTGAGTTTTATCTCAATGACACAGACACCCCCTCACATTTTATTAATTACAGTGACACCCCCTCACATTTGAAATTGGTTATATGGACACCTTTTTCGTTCCATGGCCGTCAACAATTAAAACAGAAAAGAGTGACATTACCTTAAAAAACCCTCAGTAGTAAGATTAAGTATTATATATTAAAATTTTCCCAAAAATATATAATAGAAAGACTATAATATCCCTCAATACACTTTAAAAACACAGCACAACTCCCATTTTCCACTACGTGAAGAGCTTTGGAACCCACTAAGTGAAGAACTTTAGACCTGTGTAAGTACTCTCTCTCTCTGTCTCTCTCTCCCCCCATTATTTTCCAGTGGTTTCACTATATAGTTCATCTACAATGCTTTGTTATGAAGCTTTGGAATGTTTTTATTCCATCACTTATGGTCTCTCTTTCTCTCCTCCATTACGATTTTTTTTTTACCAGACTCCTACATTACGTTAAAACACCAAACAACATTGTCTGCAACTGTCCAAAGCTCTCCCTATTGTGGATTTGCTTGTGACAACATATAAAATCAGAGGATGTTTGTGTGTTATATTGACATAACTGAAGGGGGTTAGTCAAATCCACAAATGTACATGTTATTTTTGCTGTTATTATTTTACTTTGTGGCAACTTAGGAAGAAAAATGTTCTTCTCAAATACAAGTAGAGTTGGAGGTACAAGTGATGGACTTTAGAAGCTTGATTTAAGATTCATCAAAAAACAATGCAACTGTCAGAAGAAAGCCATTATCAAAAACGTCGAGTCAGAAAAATCAAGCAAAGGAAAATTATACTTCACATGTAGCAAAGGCGGATGTGAATTTTTCGCTTGGTGCCATCCCGAGGGAAAATTCAGCAATCGCTATGGCAATGTTAGGTGACCAAATGAATATCATGGAATAGGACCAATATTTGGTAGTTCAAAATTCAGGTTCTTGCATAATCAAAATATTGTTAATGGTACTTCAGCAATCATGTTTTTGTTTCTGTTAATGGTTGTTGTGATCGATGGCAACCCTATTGTGATGAAGCTCTTGTTCATTGCATTGATCATTATGTTTGCCCTCATCATAATCCTTATAATGATGCTAATTAGCAAGTTTTAAGTTGTGTTGTTCTAGTATTTTGATCATGCAAGAACCTGTATTTTGATTATGCAAGAACTTGAATTTTGATTATCATGTTCAACTCAAATGACAAAATGGTGAAATATTTCATATAGAAGTGGGCACTGACAAAAAGGTATTACATAACTGGATTGTTTCAATGAAAATGCTTATATTCTGTATTCCAGACAGAAAATAACATGTGCCCTAACATATGCAAATCTATACTCCTCCAAGACTTTGAACTCCAATTGATTGAGCACCCCTGGCACATTTCTTTACCCCTCCCTCCATTGCAGTTGTACTTTGAACTGTGTTTACTTGGGAAGTTGCCTGTGAGGTAGTAGAATGACTTTGTGATCCAGGGGTTATTTGTGATGTTGGTCCTTCATTGCAATACATGTGGTCACTTTTCACAGATTCATCAAATGTATGCCTAGCCCATGTATGTACATGGACTTTCATAAGCCAATTATAAGCATTAGAGTCATGTAACTTCATTAACTCCATGTTGTCCCTAAACCCTACCACATTATAGGCCCTAGCAGCCCTCAATTTTTTTTTTTTTAAGTAATAGTCCAAGGAACTTGGACTTGAAATTATTGAAGAGATGCACACAATATCTCCTATGCTTAGCTCCAAGGAAAATCTTCTCAAACACTTTATCAAGTCCCTAAGTTCATAAGATAAATAGAAACAGAATAATAACAATTATTAACAGAAATAGAAAGAATAATAAGAATCATTAACAGAAACAAAAACAAAATAATAAAAATAAGTAACAAAAACAGAATAATTAGAATCATTAACATAAACAAAATTAGAATAAGAAAAATCATTAACTGAAACAGAAACAGAATAATAAGAATTATTAACAAAAATAGAAATAGAATAATAAGAATCATAAACAGAAACAGAATAAGAAAATTTAGTAACAGAAACATAAACAGAATAATAATAATTATTAACATAAATAGAAACAGAATAATCATAGATTACCTTCTGATTGTCAGACATAAAGATCCATGACTGGGACTTGTCCATAGCACCAATAACTGCATGCAGATTGTCTAGAAACCACCCTCAGCTCTCCGTTCTCTCACTTTCAACGATTCCATATGCCACTGGGAATAATCCTTTATTCCCATCCAGTGTTACTGTAGCTACAAGAACCCCATTACATGGCCCTTTGAGGTGACAACCATCAACACCAATGAAAGTCCTACAATCTTCTTTGAACCCCTTCTTCATGGCACCAAATGAAATGAAAAATCTCTTGAAAATGGGATTAACAATCACTGAAGGCTTAAAGTAATCAACAAGTGCAACAGAACCAGAGGTACTTTTCAATACTTGTCTAACATAGGCTGGTAATAACTCAAATGTCTGACTATGATTACCCTCTATTGCTTCTATAGCCCTCATTTTTGCCCTATAAGCCTACTACCATTACTTTCAATTTCCCATTGATAATTCAATTCAGATTGCATATTCTCCAATGTTATCTTTTTGTTGTTCTTGATGACCCCATGTAACTGTTTTGCAATCCAGGTGCTATTTGCCTCATCCACCTTCCTATACCTAATACAATTATGCTCACCATTCAGCAGCACTTTTGTAGCCTAATCCATAAGAGGTGATGCATGGATCTGCCATTTGCACCATTCAGCAACACAATGCACTGTGACCCTAGTCCTCTCGTTTTTCTTCCTAATTACTTTGATCCCTTTTTTAATAATGTAGTCTCTTAAAGCATCCCTAAAAAGATAAACATTCTCAAACAACATCCCCACACATAATTCCCCGTCACATTTCCTCCATTCTCAACATGAAACTCAGTCTCATATTCAGATGTATCAGAAACTTTGGATTTTTGCTTTCGTTTGATATCACCATTCATATTCTCTACATCATCAGAATCTGAATCACTACTACTCCTACCACCTTCATTCCCAGATTGATAATCTGAGACACCATCACCCTTGCCTCTCCAATCCTCATCCTCAGAACTAAAACCATATACATCGTCCTCCTTATCATTATCTCCCATATCAATTTCGCCATTTCCAACCTCAAATTGAAAATTTGCAACACATGTTTCCACATTTCCAACCTCAGATTCTTCATTTATACCACTTGTTTCTACATTATCAGCCCCCTATTTTCATTTTCATCTGCAACCATATTATCAACTTCCCTGTTTTCATTTGCATCCATATTTGCATTTGAAGCTAGGAGTTGGAGTGTAGACTGGTATCCAACATCAACAAAAATACGTATCTCTCTACTGCTCTGATACATATTAAACGCATTCATTAAACATTTATCATCATCAATTGTCATTCTCCCTTCACCATGTGACCTATTTATAGTGATTTTATATGTCACAATTTTTTTGTATACTACCAAATAATATTTTGTCAATATTGGCTAGCAAATCCATATGATAGTACTTATCTAGGTCTACTCCATAAATCGTCACAAGCGTATCACTACTATGGACAACTATATCATGCTCAAATTCACCCATTTTTTTCCAGAACCTAATTAATTCAACCCAAATTTCAAAAATAAAACCCAACTACAATTTTACATAAAACCAAAAATTCAATAAATGAAAAAAACATCGCATAAAAAGCGTAATACTTACCAATGGCTGCAAGAGAATCAATTCCTAGTAGGCGTCGCTTGTAGGTTCAAACACATACAATGGCTAATTCTAAAAAGGAAAGTTAGGGTTTGAATCGAATCAACAATTTGCTGAGGGTTAGAGGTTTGAATCGAATCTAGGATTCTCACTTAATTTGGGGTTTTACATACTAGATCTAACCCATTCTAGGCTAGAGAAGTTGAATCTGTGTGTCACAAATGAAGGGTTGTAGAAGGGTTTCTATTTTTTAGGGTTTTGTAAGTCAAAGGGATATTTATGTCATTTACACATTGTGGTTTGACCGGCAATATTATAATTCAGTAAAATGGGATTTATTCTTGTCATTGCACAACTTCTGCTAACTCCATTTATGATAAGGGGTGTCACTATAATTAATAAAATGTGAAGGGGTGTCCGTGTCATTAAGACAAAACTCAGGGGGTTGCAATGATTTTTACCCTACTATTTTTGTTGAACATGCTAATATTGTTATTTTTTAAAAATATTAATATTGAATGTCACTAGTTTTTTATGTTTAAATGTTACTATTTTTTATTTTTAATGTTACTATATATATATATATATATATATACACTAGTCGTAACTCGTGCCAAAAGACACGATAAAATATAAAATTCGTGTGCCTAGAAAAATCGGTCACACTATATTAAATTTTTCCAACATCTGTATACTATTGCATATGAATAATATTTGAAATAAAAATTATATTAAATATAAATTAATCAAATATTAAATGATTAAATATATGATAGAAATGAGTGATATAAAGTTTTTAGGGGAAAAATATATAAATGATTAAACATATGACAGAAATGAGTGATGCGATATTTTTAGGGGGAAAATATGTAAGTGATAAAAATTTAAGTTGATATGTGTTTTCTTATATATGAGAGAGATATAGTTCTAACTTATATATGTATATAGATAGATATGAGATAATTTTTTTTTAATGTTAGTCAAACACCTAAAATTTAGGAGCTTTTAATTTTTAGTTTACACTAATGCTATTGAGACATAATTGAAAGGCATAATTTGGGGACATAATGGGTTGTCACCAATGAAATGATGTATTTAATGATAAGTCTCATTATAACATTAATGAATTTATTATCATATCATTGGTGACAACTCATTATGTCCATAAATTATATTCTAATAGCATTGCTCGTTAGTTTAACTTTACTTTTAAAAGAAAGATATAGTTTAATAAAATTGATAAAAATGGATTTCATAACAAATAAATTTTCTTAATAGACTTAAGTACAAATAAATCTATATAGGAGAACCGGCCTTCAAATTCTCATTATTACAACCATGTTGAATTGGTAGACCCAAATGTTTTTTTCTGAAACTAATTGACCCAATGCCATATTTGACCACACCTAAAAAGTTGTTCCAAGCCAAGAGCCTGCAACATGCAACTGACTGCATTGTCTCTCTCTCTCTCTCTCTCCTATTATACTTTGTGGTCTCTCTTTATCTTATACGGTATTCACTCTCTCAACACACAACACTAAATCTAAATGATTTTTTTGAACAATATTAAATTACTTGCAGCCATTATATAAGTGAGTTTTATCATTTATTCAATAGCTACAATTAATTTAGTACATGATTTGATATATAAATTTGATGCATAAACATTACCCTAAATTTTTACAGTTTGAAAGTAACAATTAAACAGTAACTTATATAAAATGAATACTTTATTTTTTAAATATATTGAACACTTTTCTCAACCCGACGAGAATCTAATTTCTGCTTGGTGGGCTCCAGTTCGATCCAATGAAAGTTAAGTATTTTGTTTGTTGAAGAAATTTTGGTGTGTAGCACCCCACATAACACAGTTATGACCTCTCAGTTTGTAAAATTTTTTTTTTTGAAGACGTCAATTTGTGTGTCCATGTCTTGGCAGTTGGGTGTACACACCACTTGGCATGCGATTTGTAAAGCTCACTCATAATTTTCTCCAAGCTGTTTTCTTCCAACCAAAGCCCACCAATTTTGGGAGCATATCACGTTGGGTTTTTTCTGTAGCGACAGTGCTCCAAAACTTTCCTTCTGCAATTCTTGATTATGATTTTATACCTCCCTTGATTTCACGGTTAGATTTTTGTACGCTGTCATTATTTACTATCGATTTTATTGGTATTACATTATGAGATAAATATTGATATGGAAATATGTTTTGATCCCATATTGGTAAAAAGTAAGACAAGATGTGTGTGTATGAACTCTTGACAATTCTTTCATTACAAGTCGGTTTTCAAAGACAAGCTCTACCTATGAGTTTATAACATTTGGTATCAAACCAAACCATCACATCGATTATGAGATTGACCGCAGTATGAGTTGAGGCTCTCAGTGGTCGAGTCACAGAAGGACCGACCTATAGGTTGGTTTAAGATTACTTAATATTATATATGTTTATAGTGCTATCTCATTGAAGAGTAATAGGTAAGTGGAACCCCAAAATGGAAAGAACTGCCATTATGTCATTGTCGATAGAAGGCCACCATGAACATCGGTTACGGAAGCATGGTGGAATATTACAATCTCATATTGGTTAAAAATAAGACTATATGTATATATGAACTCTTGAACACTCTTCTCTTGTAAGTCGGTTTTAGAGTTAAGTTCTACTCATGGTTTAACAACTTAGTAAGTTTCATGTTTATATCAAGTTTCTTCTTATAGTGTGGTCGGTCTTATTAATTCGGTGGCTGATTCCGCCATAATGTGGATGGTACTCCTACTCAAAGCATCTACAAAATATGCCTAGCTTATTGGTTTTGGGATTATTCCAAGCTCCTGTCCGTGTAGATTGGAACTTCATCAGCATTAAGGGAAAGATATTAATTTTAAGCATGTGGATGGTTCAACATTTTAATGGATCCCTTCGTATGAAAAGCCAAATGCATCAAAATTAGAATCGATTTGTTCTTTAGTAGCTTAATTGTATGAGGTTCAAATTGATAACTAACAAGATTGAATAAAGTATTGGATGAAAGATGAAAATATAGGAATCAGATGCTTTAACTTCCGTTTTATGTTAACCTTTCACGTGCATGGCATTTTGAAGGGCAATACAACGTTTCACTCTCGTAACCATAAGATCTAAGAAAGATTAAATGTATGCAAACTTATGTTGTTTCCATGATTTCTAATGCCCATATCAAAATAAAATAATTTTATTGTTTCGTGAAGTTCTTCCATGACCTTGATAATTATGTTTTTCTGAAAGGAGCGAATAAAAGGCGGGGTAGTTGCTCCCACTCAAATTTCTAAAAAATTTGGTGTCTTATAGTTTTATATTATAAAAAAAAAAATAGGATTATTTCATAAATTTAAAATTGAGGACTCTTATTGGATTTTAACTTGAATTCAATTTATGTCAAAATTCGATTAGTTATATATGAATTGATAACTTTGACCAATTATCTAAGCTCAAATGCATTATGTCATATTTCACAAATTTAAATTTTAATACACCAAACTCTAATTTGATTGTAATATAATCGGATTTATTACATTCATATATGTGGATATGTGATGAAATTGAGTATTATTTGATACAATCAAATTGAACTAAAATATAATTTAATAAAATTCAATCGAATTAACTCATGTATCTACTCGAATATTTAATATTTAATTTATTTGTATATAGATTGTAAAAAAAATCATTAAATATTCATATCAGACTAAAAAATATTTTTAAATCGAATTTGGATCTCTTGAAAAGCGATATGCATTTTATGTAAAAATCAACCTGAACTCGCAAAAAAAAATAAAATTGATGATTGCTATTTGGTTGTTCTCCTCAAATTACTGATTGCCTTCGATGTAAAACCTGAGAAAGTTAAAACTTAATTAAAAAGGGAAAAATGATAATTAATCATTAAAGTAAGAGTTGAAAACTCAAATTTTTATAGAACTTAGATGATGAAACGGACTTCACTATTGGATTCTTTTCGCAAAATTTAGTTACTCAATCAATTTTCATTAAATTCTGAGACTCTTGAATTTTTCGTGTGTTACAAATCGATTGGGTGTCGGGCGAACAAAATTATCGCAATCAAATTTTATTCACGGGACATAAGAAATAGTTTAAGTTTGTTGAATAAAAATCTACTAAACTTAATGTGAGACGAGATTTAATTAGTTCGGGACAAAATTGAACAGTTAAAAAGAGACGTGTTGCTCAATATGAGCTAAGTACAAATAAGGACTTAAAAAGCAAGATTTAGTCTTCCAAGTATTTTCTCCACACAAAAATCAGTGGAGAGAGAGAGAGAGAATATCTTCTTCTCCATCTTCTTAATTAGATCTACGAAGATCTAATTGTTAGATTACTTTGAGCCAAGAGTTAAAATTGCTCTACACAACACAGGCTGGGCGGCTATAATAATAATCGCACCATTCTCCAAAATCTCAAGAATGAGAATTGAGAGCTAAGACTTGGGAAGATAGATTTTGGGTTTCCTGGGAGTTCTAATACGTGGGCTCACACTACAAGAGCTAGGGTTCCCTCTTATCTAGGTTTACTTTTAACCTGGGGTTGCAATATTAAATGGATAGGGCTGAAGAGATGTGATCTCAAATGTTAACTTACACGTAGTGTATCTAGGGTATGAAGAATGAGTATATGAGCATGTGAAATCTCGTTCTA